TGCTGAATCCATACTTCTTCTCTGTGTCATCAATGTTTTATCCATATTTTTATGAAATTGGGACTGTCATAATACTTTTTTAATAGATGTTGTTGAGATTGGAGGAGCCAAAATCAATGGAGGAAAAGTAGAAGGAACCAAAAACAGGTTTGGGCTGCTGCGGGCCATTTTGGCCCAGAGCGCAGTACCGTGGCGCTATCGCAAAAATCAGAAAAAAAAATGATTGTGCATTCACTTTTTACGCTAGTGCAATCGTATTGATTAGTGTCACGTAGAAAAAAGAAATGAGAGACACTAATCTCATTTGAACTACCCTTCATACACAAATTTGAGATTTACGATCCCACGTAAGATCAGTTCACGATCCCGGGATAATTTTCTATCAAGATAGGAAGAGTTATTGTACAAAATGTACTTCGTGGGTATTTGGTACGGTACTTCGTTCCAATATTCCCTAGAGAGGGATTACAATTGAGAGATATTGTATCTCCATTATATTTATCAAAAGGTCATAGTAGAATTCATATGTAGCGGAAGATCGGACGTAGCTCGTAATGAAGTGAAACAATATAAATCTTGTACCGTTTCTACGCGGTTGGATTTAGTTCTCGTTATATTTAGGAACTAAAAAAGATAGGGATAGCCCGCGTGGCTCTCCATGTGAAGTGTGAAGTTAAGGGTACCCTTCTGTGGTTAATTTGAAGCACGCCAGCAACAGGCAACAGGCAACAGCATACGATAATATATATATATTTACAACTCTCTTTGCCATTTTCGCTGCACTTTGCCATTTTCACTGCATCTTTTAGGTCTCTTTTATACCAAAAATAACCCTTTTTTCTCATTCTGGATTTGACGATCCACTGGATGGATGTTGCTTTGTAAGTCAGAAAGTTCAACACTTTTCTGTTTGGTTTGGCATCTAACAAAATTAAACTGGCCTTTTTCTTTTTGGTGCCATCTCCATTCAAACAGATATTGATGAGGTAAAAAAAAACTCATTTTCTTGGCATGGAAAAGCTAAAGTCGTACTGGTTTACTGTATGGGGGAAAGAAGAATATTTGTACTGTTTGATGCACAAGCCAGCGGTTAAAATTTATGTGTCTAATAGTTTTATAATAATATTGTAGATTTAAATACTATTTTTATTTTTTTTTCCCTTTTGACGAGAGTTTAATTTATTCGTCGTAATTTTAAAACGTTTATTTTAATTTTATACTTTTAAAAATGGATCAATATTTGATTCTTGATTTCCAAAATTTTAACATAATTTATAATTGATACCATCTTAATATAAATTTATGACTACCTTTCAAAAAAATTTAAGTGAATTCTATTTATTATCAACATTTCTAGCCACTAAAAATAAATATCATAAAGTGACCAAAAATACTCTTATCTTTTAATGCAAAATAACTATTATCTTACAAAAATTAAAAGAAAAAAAAACTTGTTGACAGTTTATGAATTTCTTAATGATCTTTTGAGAGTGTCTATTTAAATAATGACATCTTAAGAATATATTTCTTTTAACCAATTTAAACATAATTCAATTGGTTAAGATATATATTCCGACCAAAAAGTTAAAAAGTTCAAATTACCACGCCTACATGTTACTAAACAAAATATATATTTACTGAATCTTAACTAACTAGTTAAAATATATATGTTTTATTCCCATTCCAATGGATATTTGAACAGAACATTTTTTTTCCCTTTCTTTTTCCCAAAATCAATTTCTTAAGAAAGAAAAAAAAAAGCTAGATAATAAGGTAAGGCCATAATTATATTAAATAATTTAGGCCATAATTATATTAAATAATTTATAATTGAAGTAATTAAAGTAAAGATGGGGTTGATATATCCTTTCATATAAGCATTTTTTTACGCTTAAACTAGTGGATCACTTTAAATTAAATTTTTGAATAATTATCTCTTAAATATTTTTAAAAAATAGAGTTGAAAATGTTTTCATTTATTATCAAATTTGTGGATTAAAAATCACTTTCGACCTTTACAAAATAAATCAAATGAACCATTAAAATAAAATTGAAATTTTTACTTCTAAACTGAAAAACATTGAGATATTAGTATTGGGCTTGCGAATTCATTGCATCTCCACTTGTAGCCCAGTTAACGCTCGTGCCTTTGGGCCTTTGGTTGAACTTGAGCCCAACCCATCTACCAATGTTACCGTCTCTCTCTAGGGCGTAAATTTGAGCTAATTCAAAGTCATAAATACACTTTCATCACAATAATAATAGACAAAATAATAAACCCAAAAATATTACCAAGTTGAAATAGAAAAGGATCCATCCTGAACCGATCTTACCCGGGATCGCAAATCCCAAGTTTGTCTATGAAGAGCATATCTAATTATATTATGCGTAATACTAATCGATAAGACCTTATTAGTAAGTGCTACAAGGTCTCGTACATTATAATCCAATGGAACCGAATCCATTAGTATGGATCATTTTCTTTTCTAAGTGAAATCTTCTAGTATATGAAAGAGTGAAAAAGTGTTTTTGTTGTTGTGGAATAAGAAGTCTTAATATTTTAATGTATGTACTTAATTTATTCGAAGCTATTTGAACGTTTTTGAATAACATGAGTCAATTGAGTTCAATACTTTAAATTCTAAATCTAGATTTTTATCTCTAAAATAATTTTAATCCTATAAGAAGAAACAAACTGGTTATATATGACAAAACAAACAAATTATGAAAGAAAATATTAGTTTATTACTTGAAAACGAAAACAAACAAATTATGAAAGAAAATATTAGTTTATTACTTGAAAACGAAATGGTTATGCCAATTTGAGTCAAGCTCACATATATTGTTGACCAAAAAGTGTTGGATTTTAAGGTAGGAAAGAAAGTGAAAGTTTAAGAAATTTATTCACATATACGTTGTGAATATGTTTATTTCTTTAGTGGTTTTATTTCTTTAAACTTGAAGTTAGGTATTTAAATGAATAATTGTTTCTTTATTTTGTTATGGTTACAAAGTGTTAAAGTTACATATGTAACCTATGTAAAAAGGTTACATATGTGTTAAAAACTTGTGAGATGTTATTTCTTTTGGACAACTATAAATAGTTGTTGTTGTGTTCATTTGAGATATCAAACAATTCTCATTTTCAGTTTCTCTTCCTCTCACAAGAGTCCTCTATTCTTTTGAGTTCTTCTTCTTGTTTATGTTTAGAACAATTATYTAAGAATTATGCCATATCCGAGTAGTTATTCTATCGGAGTTAGTCGTTGTATCCTGCTGACACGATCGCTGTAGTGTGCTTGCAACTTATTCATAGTAACTAATTGTCTTCAGGTCAGCGCTATTGAAACATGTCTCGACTATTTTGATCAAGTTTTGATGTTCATTATCAAGATCTATAATTGTTTGTAGCCAATTACGTTGTAATATTAATAAGGATAAAATAAGAAAATAAGAATAAAATCGATGATAAAATGAAATTTTTATTTTCCCAAAAGCAAAATAATGAAGGGGCTATGGGTTGGCTGTTTCATGAGAGGCTGGCGCCTGGATTCAAAACATTTACCAAGTCAAACAATGAGATCTAAGATTGTGAGAAATTCTTTACAAGTTTTTTTCCAAATGAAGAAACTAATAATAATAATAATAATAAATGGAAGAACCAATAAATAAATAAACGGAAGAAGACTTTTTCAACCCCTTTGAATAATTGTGCTGTCAGTGTCAGTCAATGTGAATCTCAACCAGACCGAAGAGCTAAGATCTAAGATTTCAATTTTAAATAAAGGGATTAGACACTTGATTTTGCCTCTATAAAGATCCAAACTTTCCAGTTTCTAAAAAAGAAAAGAAAAATAAATCTAAATCTGTCAAAAACTACTTTTATTTTATACTATTATTTGATAAAGTTCTAAAATTTTTAAAATATAATCTTCAAGATTATTGCTTGGACCGTGCTTAGAATTCCATCTGTACCTTGCTTATCAAAATCAAACATTATATAATGAGAATTGTGTAGACCAATATGGATTATAAAATAGATAATTGGGAGTTCTAATAATTATTATACTTTTAAACAATACATTATTATGTAAACCAGTCATTAACTATATAATTAATTATTCAAGCACATACATAAGTGATTACTAACATGTCAGCTATTATGAAAATGAAGATTTCAAACTTTCTAACGTGATTGATGCTTTAATGATTGAGTTATGGGGTCGTATATATGAAATTTCTAATCTAAAAAAATCAATAATTAAAAGAAAAGGTTAGAATGAAATAAAACAATGTCTGGTAGTAAAAAATGGTTAAATTACTGAAAATATTCTTGAATTTTAGCTATTTATCCTTTCATAAATGTTTCAAAAATTTAACAAACATCCACTAATATCTTAGAGAGAAAGTTGGAAAGTAACAATTAATTGGTACTATAACAAGTTATACCTTTAACATGGTTTATTGTGGATCTGTCATTGTCTCTACCAGTGAAATTTTTTGTAGATCGAATTTGTTTGAAACAAAATTTCCAGTTCGTTTTGAGATGTTGATGATAATCAAAAGAGAAAGTTGTTGTGTTATAACTTATAAGATTGATGTGTTGTGAACAGTAAAGCAGCATATAATTAGGCATTTTGACAACTAACTGGGAATCACATCTCTCCCTTTTATGCATCAACCAATGAAGAAGAAAAAGAACCCAAAAAAAAAAAAAAAGGGAAAAACAGATTGGAAAAAAGATTGTTTAGAAGGGAAAGGGTAAAAAATCCCAAAATAGGAGCAACTGTTCGAAGTCCGCGTAGGCTGCCTTATTTTGCCCCGTTTTCAATCTCCCATCGGCCATTGTTTGTGAGAGCAGAAGAGAAGGGGAAGATCACTGTGACTCAGTCAATCAAACGTTGGACTTAATTACGTTCCCCTTCTCTTCTCAACCACCAATTTCATCCCCCATTTCCAATTCCCTTCTTATGATCTTCCCATACAACGCCCCACGTTGAGGAAGCCCAGATTCCAAGGCCTCCCCCTTCCCCGATTACCGATTCTGCAGATTGTTTTCTTCAATTCCAACCGATAATCGTCTCCTCTGCAGATTTTCTGATCTGGGTCTCGTCCTCTCATGGCTGCGGCAGCGGGAAGGGGGCGCGTCTTCCCTTAATCGCCCATTCCCTCTCAAACCCTACCCGATCTCTCTGGGTTTTCCGACGGCTACGGATTCGCGTCTTGTTGGTTTCTTCGAGGGGGGTTGGGGGGAAGGCAGGAACAATCCCAGGATAATCTTTTGGGCAAAACCCCGATGCCAGGAGCCTTGTAAACTTCAACCCAATTCCTCCTTTCCAATGGAACGCCCATTGACTACATTCATCTTCGTGATTTCGGGGTTTGCTTTCAGTATTTTGTCGCTTCTTGTTGAGTGTCAGCCTCAGGATAGACCCAATTCTCCTGTGACGCCTTCTCCACCGCGACTGCCATCCCCTCCGCCTCGATCGCCGTCCCTCCCACCGCCTTCGCCGCCATCCCCTCCTCAGCCTTCGCCGCTGTCTCCTCCTCCGCCTTCGCCGGTTTCTCCTCCACCGCCTCGTCGTCGTCGTAGTAGTAGTCCGCCCCCCTCACGTGCATCCTCCGCAAGGAATGAAAACCCCCAACTTGGTGGGACACACAAGAAGAATAATAAGAAGAATCAAGCAGAGAAGCGAAGTCGTCTCAATAAGGGGAAGCAAGTTGGGTTGTTCTTTGTAGGTATCGCCGCAGTACTTCAAGTCTGTGTGGTGGGATTTTTGGTATTCAAGAGGCGGCAGCTCCTAAGATTCAAGGAGCAGTATGAAAGTTTTTCTTGAATTCGTTGGAATCTGATTTCTTCACCTTACAGCAGAGAAGTATTCTTGAGGACATGGGTGGCCCTTGAGCTAACTGGATGGATCGCCTCCTCAAAAACCAACAGTTGTGTATAAATTTTGGAGTCTAGGGTTGGGAAGAGGCACAGAGCCTTGTTCTTTGAATTTGTAAGAGGCTGCACCGCAGAAGATGAAATTCTGAGCAGCTAGCAGGCGAATAAGGGGGGGCGAGCGTCTTCTCTTGAGGCTTTCCTCAGGTGTTGTGTAAAAATGGGTAAATGATGATTGGTTGAGCTTTTTCTTCTTGTGATTTTTGAATTCTTGTTCATTCTTTTGTCCAATTCTGATTATACAGTTCATTAATTCAAAGCAGAAGAAACCGTCTTGGAATACCTCATTTTGTTATTGAATTATTTTTCTGCTAACCTCTGCTCCGTATGGCTGTAAAAGATTTGTCTAATATCACAAACAAATTATGCACTGAACCTCTATACTTTCTCCCTTGCCTGAGCATGTAATGTTGATTATTGTAGACGCAGTTTTGTTTATCTGTGATATTGCTGATTTTGGCAAGTATGGCAAAGCCAGTTCTTTTTAGACATTTATCTTGTAATTCTTCACTATCTTGTTATTTTTTTATCAGGTATAGTTCTAGCATATTAGAAAATTGCAGAAGATAGCTGTATCGTTTGTTACTTCGTATTTTCCGATGTTAACATATCAGGGTGGAATTTCAGCTGATATTGATGCTTTTTGAACTTCTCTTCCAAGTTAGTTGCTAGATTTGTGAAAAAATATATATTTCTTCTGAATATGCTGCTTGGAAAAAGATTTAGTGCAGGACAGGATCATTCTCTCTGAAGTCTTAGATCAAGAGAGAGAGAAAAAAGATTGATTTTATCACACCTTACTCTAGAATGGAGCTAGAGTTAGGGACATCATCTAATTTGCTAGTTATTTTCTTACAACTCTGAACCATTCTACTGTGGAAGAGAAAAAAAACTAGTATAACATGATTCTTTTACCATGTTTGAAAAGATAGCCTTAAATTTCAACCCAACACTGACGACTAATCCTTTCGTTTGAAATTTTTTTGTTCGTACCGAACCGCTTGCTTTGTTGAGACGAATTTGAAAATGACATTAGTTATTACCCTTTAGAGTCAACTTTGAGGGGTCAAAACCAAACTTATTGAGGTCTGAATTGCACTCTGGGATACCTACCCCTTGTCTCTCTCTG